GTCTTTATTGTGAGTTCCAGTAGGAATAGTTACAAACAAATTACCATGATTTGTTTATGGAAAAATAAACCATTTATTTTCCAATAAATAATGTTTTTGGAATGAATTTTATGAAAGGATTTTGGAATTTGGAGGAATTTCTTGGTAATAATAGCTGGATAGTCACCATCTGCCATAATCTTCTTCACTACAGGTACAGGTAGGATGTTGATTTTTTCAATTGTTTTTTTTTTTAATTGGGTATAGCCTTCTTTGGCCACTGCCTTTCATTGACTGCCCCTCGATTTGAGGAAAATCTCTTTTTATGAACGCTATTTCAGAGCCAACTTTGTTAAAAAATTTCAATATTTTATTTGTCAAAACCCTATACCTGGATCACTTTTTATTTAATTATGCATAATTTAATTTCTTTTATTACTTACTTTTGTATTAAAAAACACTCGCGGTTTTCTTTTAAATTGCACTTAAAATTATTTAAAATCTTAATCCTACTTTACTATACAATTTACTAACCATTTTGTGCAAAACATTTCTCATAATTATTGACTTGAAAATCTGCTGTTAAAATTGAATTATTCCTTTATTAAGTCCTTTTGAGATCTGAAACTTTTCAGAAACTTGCAATTTATCCTCATTCATGTCATGACTACATTATATTATTTTTATTAGCATTATAATTTATGATAGTGTTAGGTTCAGCGTTGGATCCATACGTCACTATAATTATTTGCCCTTCAAAAAGTATCTAAAACATCTCCAAGTCTGAAATGTGTTCCAGTCTTGTTAAGAAAGTACCCTTTACTTGACTGAACTTGCAGTTCCACTCAAAAGCGATTTTAATAGCAGATATTCATACACAAAGTCAATTTTGTTGTAAGGAGAATTACTTTTAGTAAATATTATAACTTGAAAATGTTTAAAACTTGTACATTTGAATAAATTCATTGATCAAATTTTGATTCAGTCATGATTCAGTTTTATCTTTTTAAATATGGCTAGTTTTTGCCTTGTTTTATTTAATTTCTACATATTTCATAGCAAAGGTATTTGACTTAAAGTTTTTAATGTTACTTTTCTTATTGACTTCATTCAAATTCTTTCTAAAACTATTACTTATTAAACTACTTATAATTTCCTCCGTTACAATATTTTTCAAATTCATATAATTTTTATTTGAAACTTTCTTGCGTATCTATAACACCAATTGAAATATTGAACAATTAAGTACTAATGGGACACCCTGTATAATATATCACAGATGAACAAATCTGAAAAAATTGTAAATTTTTTATTACAAAAGTATGTGTAGACAATAATTTTAGAACATAAAATGTCTAATAAACAAACAGACAATTTAAAAATTTAAATACTACATTTTTGAAACGGGAATTTTCCTTGATTATTCCGTTTTTTTGCTGATTAACAATAATTCTGATTATAAAAAAAAAAAAAAAAAAAATAGTATGGCAATTTCGAAAATTAGATCCGTTTTATTAAAGGTATTTAAATAACAACAATAGAAAGCGGAAGTGTACAGATATTTCATGCACTCAAAATATTCAATTAAATGAGAATAGTGAAGGTCGGCATTTATTTAAAAAAGTTAATTTAAATTGAATTATGCTTGAGAGCTTAATATTATAAATTATAAAGTTTTTATAATGTTTTTTTGCTGTTTATCAATTATTTAAAGAGACGTTTTACTAATTTGACAGTAAATGGCAGCTGAGTAAAAGTAATTAAACTAAGCATACCACGAGTATTTTTGACAATTTCGAATAAAAAATAAACGAAAAATCTACCAAGTGGTATTTAAAAATAAATAAGTAGTACGTTAAATATTACTAAAATATTTTATTATTTAAGTACTTAATTTATACAAAACGGATTTTAAACTTTACATTTTTATGTTCATACCTCATCCTTCATCCTACATCCATCATTCTTGCTGATGTAAAAAAACCATTCAAGTATCTCTAGCGACAAAGGTAATATTTTTTCGAGAGCATTTTTAGTTTTACGTATTTTTCATTTGCTTTTTCAACAATAATTTATGGGTGAATCGTCCATATGTTTCATATTTCAATTTTATAGTACATTAAATATTTACTAAATTGCCACAGCTGATAATTAGTTTTAATTATTTACCAAAAAAATCATTGTGAAAACAAATATGATAATGATTTTCTTTCAGAATGTATTTGTAAAAATAAACAATCTAACCTACTGTCGATTGATTTTGATCGCCCTGTAACGTAATTGAGAAGGTGTACCGATATGATGAAGTAATTTACATTCTTGGAATTCCCATCTTCACAGAAGAAATAGAAAATTAATTTATCACCAAGTAAGAAGACAACAATGTTAAAATGTTTCAGACCGCACACTATTTGCTGTGATAAGATTTTTTTATGCATTTATCTAATAATAACTAGGCTATCTATAGTTAATTTATTTATAATACTATGATATAATTATTTATTGTTTAGTTGCGTATCGGTGAAATTTTCTGAATATTTGGTATTTTTAATCGACTTCCAAAAAGGAGCAGGTTCTCAATTCGTCGTAATATTTTTTTTTATGTATGTTCAGCCATAATTCTTTAACACGGTGTCCGATTCCAATGATTCTTTTTTTATTAGAAAGGGGGTACTTCAGGGGTGGTCCTATACAGGGGCGGTTTCTCCATTGGTTCATTTGTGCAGTGAACACTCAGTTAAATTTCATAAAAACACATTATTTTAAAATTACATAAATAACATTAAAATGTAAATTTAATTTTAATATTTTTATTTTCATACGTGTTAATCTATATTTTTTGGTACATCATTGCCCTCTGGCTGATCGCGTCTCTGTGGCACAGTATACCTAAGTAAACTGTGTCTGTGGCGCATTATGATGAGTGATCCTAACACGAGTGAGTCGATTTGGCGAATGCATATAGCTAAAAAGAGAAGGCAATACGTCAATAGATCCTTGAAACGGCAAAAGAACACTTTAATTGGCGCGCCGCTCACAAACAAGGTTGCCAAACCAGTGTTGCTAAACCAGTGTTGCCAAACCAGTGTTGCCAAAAAAATGCCATTTTAAAATAATGCAGGGTGCTTTATTATGAACTTGAAAAAAATGGTCTACGGAAGGGATTGCTTGTCGAACGTCAGCTAAACTAACTAAAAAACATCAACAAATCGACCTCTTTGATATACCGCCGTTAGACGGAGATATATTTGTATTACTTAAAAGTTTAATTATTTATTAATTATGTACCTATTTTTTTGCTTTCAATTTACAGATTTATAATTTTATAGTAATTTTTACATATAAAACAAGAAATTTACTGAAAAAAAGGCCGTTCTTACTGATTTTTATAACAACTTATTTAACAATAGAATTATGTCAAATAGGTCATTGTTTTAGGGTTACTACTGAAGTTATTAATGTTACTTCTAGTCAATTTTGTCACGTGAGATATGAATATTGTTGAATACTCTTCGTATAAGTAGGTATTATGATATGACTGATATTTACTTTGCAATTTTAATATAATCAACATATATGGAATTTTTAACACGGACACTACCTTGCAATTGGTATTTACACCAATTTTAAATCAATCAATCCCAGCTAAAACAACTTATTTGTATATTGTTCATCATTGATTTTGATTATTTTTTCCGCATTGATATAATTAATCGTAGAAATTAAAATGTTTGTTAATTAAGGGTTTTTTTGCAATGAGCCTATCCTAATCTTAATAAGTATTTAATACAAATTTTCTTTTAATTTGACTTACAAAGTTACATTTTTGTAATCGCAGCGTGTCCAAATGATCTATCTACTTTGAGTTACATAAAGTTGAACATTATGTAACTGGTTATGTCATAAATATGTTCATTATTGCGAAAAGAAAATAAATAAAAGAAACCTTTTTTTGAATAATTTATATTATTTCAAGAGCCTAAAAATAGCCTAAAAATGTGGTGTAGTTGTTAGAAAAAAGCTTTAAAAAACCGAGGTGCTCTGCTGGATTCGTTCGAAGCTAGCAAAGCACTCTGTATTCTTTAAAAACACATTTTTTTTCAAAAGTTAAATGGGTCGTTCTTCTTTTTAACCTACAATTTGATAAAACATTAACTCAATTTCGAAAAAAAAAATATAAAGCTTCCTCGTCAGTATTTATATATATTCTGATAGCAGAATTTCTATTCTATCGGAAAAAAATGTTGGTCGAGAAGTTTATAGATTTTTGTTCGATTTTTAAGACCTGAAAGATGGATTCGACAAAAAAAATTACACCTCCGTCACGAAATCTTTTATTTTATTCTATCCAATACTCTTCGTCAAATAATTTGTACTTTTGTAATACGTTAATTGACTAAAGTAACTTTTAGAAAACATATTAAAATAATACATTAGTATTTATAAAATATGTTTTATTCATGATCTTATACCACTCTGTCACATTTTCTGCTAATATAAAGAAGGTTTTTGCTATAAATCAATTTTTACTATCATTTACAAATAAATACGATTATTACAGACGGCAATATCATCAACTATTATAAATATAAATTTTCCAATGTTGCACTAGTCATAACAAAATATATGAACGATCAAAACAATTTTCCTACCAGGAGACAACATCGTAACAGAGTAGTAACTTATGTGACAGAGTTGTTACTCTAGGGGATACCAGGCTACGTTTTGGAATAAAAGAGGTTTATTTTCTAGAATCATTTATTTTGTAAAAAAAATTTCAGTCTTCAACATTGTCATATAAAATAACATGAGATCGAACTTAAATAATTAATTAAATCACATTTGAGAATCTTTAGAATAAGAAATTCGTATTTTAGTAAATTAAATGACTACTCATTCGTCTTGAATAATTAAAAAATCTAGTATTACTTAACACTGAAATTGTCAAAAACATAAAATAAAATAATCATCATAATCTAGCAAGACAATATTTCAATTTCGAAGCCACTGATAGAAAAGTCTTATTTTTCGAATACTGACAGTGGCTCTTCGAACTGGAAATATTGTCTCTTTCCCTTTTTAATAACATTCGGAACCGGTAAGACTTTTATCAAATCATCAAAAGGAACATCCGATACGTCAGTCTCCACCAACTTAAACAGTCTTCCAGTATCATCTACAGTTTTTAGGAACATTACCAAAACATCGCCTTCTTCATCGACGGTACTTTTTGCTACTCCAGCGTAAGTGTATTGGATTTTCCTCTCGCTTCGTACTTTAACCAATACGTGTACTCCGTCTTTTATATTCATTGGATGAATGTCTTCAGGCTGGAGTGTTTGGTAAGAAGTACCGCAGACGGCAGTTTGATCAGTTGGATATTTCGATTTAAGCGTGGTCAAAGGCTGATCTTCATCAGATGACTCATCTGGACTATACACAGCATCGTAAAAACTTTTTCGGGGCATCCCAATTGTATTCGTAATATCAGCGAGCGTGAAATCTTCCAGATCAGGAATTATATCGTCTTCTTTTTCGTTAGATAAGAACTCGTCCACAGGATTTTGTTGTTGTTGGGTTTCAGACAGAGGCCGATAAATTTTAGGAACGTGGCAAGAACAGAATTGTTCACAAAAACAACTTAATACCCTATGGTTTAAGACTCCACGAGTTTCCGAGAACATTTGGTGGACTTGCATTGTTCCTTTCAGGGGCACAATGTTACTTGGAATCGTTGCTGCTACCTTTTTTACGTCTTCGTCTGTCACCATGAACAGTTTAATTTTGTTAGCATCTTGAAGTGCGGAAAAGAATTGAAACACATCTGCAATATCATTTCCTCTAGCTACTATGGCATCAGCTTGTCGTTTCATTGTTCCTCCGACACCATCAGCAGCTCCTTTTCCATGTCCTGATTCAAAGAAGTTCCAGGATATTTTGCGAAACCCGTATTCTTCAAAAAACCTGTTTGCCATTAGGTAAAAGTTTATCTTTTGCTTGTATTGGGTTGCAGGTCCATCAGAAAAGAAGTGAACAGTTGTTACAGCAGGGTGTTTTTCTTTTAATTCCGACAGAATTGGATGAAGGTGCGCCCAAATCGCAGAAGGTCCATGGTTCTGATTGGATGACACTGTACAGTATGAAGTTACCTGTTTTGTCTGTGCTTCTGTTGAAAAATGGTACATCACTGCTGTATGCAGGGTAATTTGATTACGAGAACCACCGAAATGGTGAGACTGGACTTCAGAGTAATACTTGCAGGCATAATTCTCACTAAAATCTATATGTAATGCTACTTCACTTTCTGTCAGCCCGTCGATGCACTGTCGGTAAGCTTTGTATTGGTGTCTGATATTGTGGATGTGCGTTTTGAAGTTTTGCAGCTCGCTCTCAAATTTATAGATTACATCTTTAATTGTGAGCTTTTCAATAACTGGTACATTTTTTGTAATCTTTACCTTTTTCTCTGCCTTTTCTACAACTTCACTTTTTCTTATCCACTGTCGTAAGTCTACAATCTCTGTTTGGTTACTTTTATCATAATTTAAGCACCGGTTCTTGCACTTCGAACAAACTCCTTTCATACAGGATACCGAATCAGCAGAACAAACTAGTGATTCTAAGACTGCATTCGTGTCTTTCTGCACAATTACTTTATTCTTATGTAATGTAATAACCACATAGGTAAAATTTGCATGTAACTTGCATAAACAAGTATCCCTGCCATCTACAGTAGGTGGCTTCACATAAAATGGCCTATGTTTAGTGAAGTAGCTGTAGTGGCATTTGAGGCCACTATTTTCTTTTAAGAAGGCTTTGTACAGGTTTTTCATGGAGTCCAACAAAAATCTTTTCTGTACTTTCTTTTTTTTGTGCGTGACAGTCTCCTTCTTACCAGCTGTAGCTCTCGTTACATCATCCCGCAAGAAGAACTGACGAATCTTCCGTACAAGATCAGTATGTTTTGGTAGAACGCTCTTACATGTTAAAGGTCGGTTTACACCTAATGTGTCTCTTACCAATTCGATTTGCATTCTTGACTCTTTTACGATACGGGTTTGAAGTACCGATTGGATGAGGCGTTTTTCTTTTCGACTTTTGACAGTTTTGTATCGTTCTTTAATGGCATTAGAAAGAATGCTGTACTTTTTTGTGTTCTGGCTATTGCTTTGATCTTTGTTGCTGCTAATGTCTTTTTTTGATTTTCTTTGCAATCTCTTCTTATATTTTCGAACTTTCTTCTCTAACTGGTCTATTTTTTCTTGAAACTTAATATTATCTCTGTATAACTTTGTTCTATCTCTTTTCACTTTCTTTCTTCCCCTTGAAGTAGATACTTCAGAGGGAGTCGGTGTTGCAGATGGAGTCATTCGTGGGGTTTCTGGTATTGGTGATGGAGCCGGCGTGTTTAAAAGTACCTCTTTAAGCATCTTTTTCTTCTCCCTTCTTTTTTTATTTCCTTCTTGCCAGATTCGCTTTTTGATTCGATGTTCTCGCATGCTCATGTCAGCCACTAGCTTCTTTCGAGCATGGTATCTTTCTAAATCCTTGCGCTTTATTTCAGCTACCTTCTCAGGGTCATTTTTTCGTTTCTCCCGACAACGCCGCTGTCTTTCTGCTGGGGTTAACGCCTTCTTTTTTGCCATAATGGTAGCTGGAAATAGGAAATCAGTAATACGTACCTAAACGTACGAGAAGATAGAAAAATGTTTATAACACTTTCCGTAGGAATAATTACCATAATAACTAGTTTATCTTTTTCAGTATTTCTCGGATTCAGCATAAATAGAACATGAATATCGTTTATTTTACCACTCCGTCACGTACTTTACCACTCCGTCACAATAAATATGTGACGGAGTTGTTATGTGACGGAGGGGTAAAAATTTGTTGCAAAGTCGATAACATTTAAAAGTTAACATAGAATATATAATTTACACGTTGGCAATAAAATATTTCTTATTACGTAAGAGTAGACAACGAAAAGTACAATAATAATTATATTTTGAATCAATTACTTACGTGACGAAGCGGTAGCCGAATAAACACACCCACCTCCTATCACAGCTTTCGGGCGACTGACGCGCTGTTTCTTGATCTCAGAGGGGAAATCGTACCAAGGGGGGGAGGGGGTCTAAACCTCCAATCGCAAGTCACAAAGACGAGAGACACAAACTCGTATTTCGAAGGACAACCCACGTGACAGAATTTACAAAATAAAACATCAGGTAGTAGGAGACAAGTATTTGAAATTTTTTGGATATTTTATTAAAAGTGATAAAAAATAATGGTTGCTATTACATGATAGGTAATATATTTAGGAGTTATGAGATATTTTTACGTTTTGTGTCATCATATAATTTTTTCGTAATATTATGGATTATACGCAAGCCGAGGTAGCGGGAGACACTGTGATTTGTATGAAATACACTTCTGTCACGCGGATTTACAACTCTGTAACGTACTTTTTACAATGAAATTATTCAATTCATATGTTATTTAATGGTGCACAGCCATTATGTGTATAGTACAGTGTATGTTGAAATACAATTAAGAAAAAATAATGATAATTTCCTTGTTTTATTTTTCACTGACTGTTAGAGACACTTTTTTGTAGGTTAAAAAGAAGAACGACCCAAATATTGTTTTGAGAGCCAAAAAATAGCTTAAAAAAATAATAATAAACCGAGATGCTCTGCTGACTTTGCTCCAACAAAGCACCCTCTATTATTTAAAAATAGCAATTTTTTAGTAAAGTTTTATAATATTTCAAGAACCAAAAATGTAATGTAGTTGTTTTTAGAAAAAATCTTTAAAAAACCGAGGTCTCTGCTGGATTCGTTCGAAGGTAGCAAAGCACCCTGTATTTAAAAAAAAACAACATTTTTTTTGAAAAGTTATATACGGTTTTAGGAGCCTAAAAATAGCTTAAAAACGTAGCATAACTAGTTTTCCGAAAAAATAATAATAAACCGAGATGCTCTGCTGACTTTGCTCCAACAAAGCACCCTCTATTATTTAAAAATAGCAATTTTTTAGTAAAGTTTTATAATATTTCAAGAGCCTAAAGATAGCCTAAAAATGTGGTGTAGTTGTTTTTAGAAAAAAGCTTTAAAAACTGAGGTACTCTGCAGATTCCTTCGAAGCTAGCAAAGCACCCGGTATTTTTTAAAAATAACAGAATTTTTTGAAAAGTTTTATAATATTTTAAGAGCCTAAAAATAGCTTAAAAATATGGTGTCGTTAGTTTTGGAAAAAAGCTTTAAAAAACTGAGGTGCTCTGCTGACTTCGTTCGAAGCTAGCAGAGCACCTTGATTTTTGCAAAAAACGAGGAGCATAAAATTTTTGAATAGGGTATAAAAATAGCCTTAAAATAGCCTAAAAATGTGGCATATGTTTCAACTCAAAATTCCCGAGGTGCTTTGCTGCCTTCTTTGGCATCTACTTTGAAGTCGATTTTTTAAAATTACTTTTAATACTGGGCCAAACTTATTCCTATGACTAATTTTCGATGTACAGGGTATTAAAGTTGCAAGTAGGCTATTTTTTAAAAATGCAGTGCTTCTTGCCTATTTTTTTGTCTTAATAGACCTTGCTAGTAGTGCAGATCCTGCAGTGAGGAGGGATCGAAGCTCCAAGGGGTTCGTTTTCTAGATTCTTCTTATTACTGCATTACTATTCTTTCTTCTGCTATCTGTCATAATTGCTATACCTGATAAATATTTTTTAAAGCTTAAAATAATAAAGAACTATTTACGCAATTCTACTAGAAAATATCGTCAACTTGCTATGACTTCTTGAAGGTGTTGAAATTAATTTAATTCTTCATATTTGTTGTTACTAAGTTGTATACCTCATATCTTATAGCAAAGTTGTTATAACTTTTATCCTTTATTAGTTACATATCTTTTGTTTTATAGTACTGATGTTTTATAATTATAAACCTTTTAAAGTGGTTGGAGGTCGTCTATTAAAACGCGATAAAATTTAATTAAAAACTGCAAACAGGGGATACTAACTTTTTGACTCACCCTGTAGAAAGTTTATATCCCCTACTACTGATTGAGGCTAGTTCAGTATGATATTAATTTGAAGAATATTTCCATACTAAAATTCCATTTTCAATAAATTGTGACTAGGAAGCTATTGTAAGACAATCAAAAGAGTGTCATCTATATTTCTTATATCAGTGGTTGTTCAAATGTCAATTGTCACATATATTGATTAAATATTTGAATTAGGCAGGCATTCCAAACAAATGAATTGCCAGTGGGAAGGTTTGGTATATCTAAGGGTGGACGGTGTATTCTATCTACTTTACGTAAAATCATGAATAATGGATTACATTTAAATATTTTATGTCCAATACAATACAAATAATATTTAAAAAACCACCTATATATTTCTTCATAAATTGGCAGGCTTGGCGACTACTACTTCGAATAAAAATAGTGTCCAAGTTGCAAGACTATGTCGCTACCCCCTTAGATATACAAGAATTTCCCACTGGCATCTATTGTTTGACAGGTCGTTGGAATGCCTAATATTGTATATAATGGCCGTTGCCGTCATTGTAATTTTTCTGTTAATACGCTAGTTCGGTGTGATGTCATTTTGGTTCCACAGACATTTAATTAGGCATTCCAAACTGAATGCCTACCAGTGGGCTTTGACGGGTTATGATATTGCAAAATTATGGCAACCCTGTAGACCTGGTGATTTGACAAGGTCAATGAAATAGATAGTTACATAGATTGATTATCCATATTTTTCAAAATAAACATAAGCGTATGCCTTGAAGTAAAAATGTAAGCAATTATTTTTTTTAAATATCTAAAGGCTAAAAATTGGTTTTAAAACACATTTTTGCTAAACCGATTCAAATTAATAAATATTTGCCAGGCAATATGGCCGCTCGTAAACGACCAGCTTTGAGCAATCTATATAACTATATGACAACAGGGTTGCCATATCTAAACTGTCATTACCCACCCATTTGGACAGGTCGTTGGAATGCCTAATTCAAACTAAAGTTTTAACAAAAACATTAATAAATTTGACGTATACGTTTTTACTGTTTTTAGTTTATTTCTAAATATTGTTTACAGGTCATAAGAAAGAGTTTAAAGGTATGTAATTGGTAAACTAAACGATTGTATATTTGATGCATGATATCTACTTACTTTAGGAATATATTTATAATAGAAAAATATCTGTAATCAATTGTTTAGAAGCTATTCCTTTTTAAAAAATCGCAAAGCAACTTCAAAATTAGTCATAGGATTGACAATTACAACAATTCGACTGGATGATCCTTTATCCATAAAAAAAGGTAAAATGCAATATGTACACACAGAAAATTTTCGTATTTCCTTTACCTACATAACGATGTTACTAAGTCCGACAAATTTTAAATTAACTATTAAAATTCATCAAATGTCACACAACGCTATTTAACAAAACAAAGATGTTGACATTTCCGTTTTGTCTGTCTATAACCTTATTTTTTTCATTCAACGGAAGAGTAGGTACCATCAGTAATCAAGGTTGCAAAGTTTAACCTTAGATAATGAATTTATAATCGAACACGATACGGCCAGACTTATTTGTTAGCTATTGATTTTTTAATGTTCTATTATGTACCTATAAGCAATACAAATGTTTGACTTTTTATGTTTAGCAATAAAGCCAAATAAAGGTACCTAAACAATAATGTTAAATTTAGATCCCGAAAATATTTGTTTAAAAATATTTGAATACAGACACTAAAAACATTTAAGTTTAATTTTATACCTTAAAAATTGTCAGCAGCTTCGCTTGTGTTGATATTCAGTTAAAACCATTTTAACCAGCCTTTTTCTCAATCTTTAATTTACACGTCTACACATTTTCAGTTTTTGATTAATTTTTTGTAAATAATATAACTTTTTTTATTAATATTTTATTATTATTTAATCTACGAAGTGCGTATATACCATTGTATAAACTGGGCTTATTTAAATTATAGAAACTTATTTTGCAAAGTACGCCTATGGAATGTGACGTTATATTCCCACTTTTTTTATTATCCACTAATCTTCCTAAAATATGTTAATATCACCCCCGAAAAATAAATATCAAAATCAACCAATTAATTAAATGTTTATGTATATTTATTAGAGGCTATATCAATATATTTTTAAAAATAGATTAATACCTATTAATACCTATTTATACCTATTTATACCTATTTATACCGATTGATACCTATTGATACCTATTGATACCTATTTATACCTCTTTATACCTATTTATACCTATTTATACCTATTTATACCTATTTATACCTATTTATACCTATTTATACCTATTTATACCTATTTATACCTATTTATACCTATTTATACCTATTTATACCTATTTATACCTATTTATACCTATTTATACCTATTTATACCTATTTATACCTATTTATACCTATTTATACCTATTTATACCTATTTATACCTATTTATACCTATTTATACCTATTTATACCTATTTATACCTATTTATACCTATTTATACCTATTTATACCTATTTATACCTATTTATACCTATTTATACCTATTTATACCTATTTATACCTATTTATACCTATTTATACCTATTTATACCTATTTATA